AAAGGACAGTGTTACAGATAATATACTAGCCATTCAAAATTTTCCAATCGCTTCGCTTGTTTAATACTTAAATAATTGATTTCTACCCACTTTAATAACTATTATTAGCCATTATTTTTTGTTTGAGTGTTTTACGAATATCAGTATTGAGAACTAACAGGACGCCATACCGACATCTACTGTCTCCGTAATTTTTAAGCAAGATATAATCAATTTTTAACTATGATATTTAACATAGGTACTCATATCTCATTTAAAAATTAAAATATCGAAAAATCACCAATACTAAAGCACATATAATCATTTATATTTTCCATTTGTATTTTATATTTTGTCTTACCTTTGGTCTTTAATTTTGGAAATAGGTCGATTTGATTTAATATTAAAACTAACGGCACAAAATGTGTCCTACTGAACGCAAATTTGCTATGTCTCGTGTTTGTAAGATGGAGACGGTTGATGTCGGTTTGGCGTCCTCGTAATGAAAACCGCTAACACAAATGCCGAAAACAACTGCAGACCTGCTGAGTACTCGTACTTTCATGGCCGTCTTCCATTAAAGCTTATCAATTTTTTTTATCATATAGTTATCACGGCTCTATGGTATTATTTCCCAAAAACATAATAAGTTAATAACAGGGACCACGATTGCACAGTACAGACAATAATCGTATAGATAATCACAATATAACTATTATAACCAACAGGCAACAGTATTTACGTTGATGGTAGCCACGAAATCTCTAATTTCTCATCAATCTCTTAACAAGTTTTAAATAACTATTTCCACACAAAAAATCAACTTTTTTTAAATTTTGATTAATAATAATAAAATAAGTAAGTACCTATACATAAAACAAATTCAACAATGCCCAAGGGGAGTAATTGCTCCTATCACCTCCTCCCCACCCTTGTATACACCCCTGCAGTCTTTCCCTACCTAAACTTTAGAGTTGAATATCTCATCAACTGTTCGACGGAAATCAAAAATTTTAACACCAAAATGTATTTAAATTAATACTAAATTTATTCGTGGAATTTTTAATATAGGTTCTCATTTGAAAAACCAAAGTTGGTATCAACACAGGATACTCTTTAAATCTAGGTATTCGAAAATATCGTCTTGAACTACACTTAAAATGCCAAAAATTAGAATTTCATGATTTATTCGTTTCATGAATTCCTTGATTTATTATACTAGCCTTCGCCCCCAGAGCCATGAGCCATGAGCCAAAATAGGTAGGTATTTAAAATATTATATATTGATAAAGAAATACAGTGTCTATAGATGTCAGTTATTCGTATTATATGCGGCATAATAATTATTTATAATATTATATTAAAAACTCTCTGTTTGACATAGAGGGATAACCAAATCAGGGGAAAAAATAATCGAAAATTTGTACTTCATCTACCCGTGTAGTTATTTCCCATTACGTACACCATTAAGTTTTTAATGGATACGACCTTCTAACCATAAAGCAATTAACAGTAACCACTAATAATTCGTTTAAATGGTACTTAAACGTTTTGTGAGTGTACAAAAACACTTTCCGGTTTTCATAAATAACAAAAAGGTATTCTATAGAAATCTATAGGTAATGATCTAAAATGTACACGGCATACGAATATTTTATTTATTTATTTTGAATATAAACGCCGAACGGCTATTTTAAACAAGTAGATACATACAATTTATGAGAGAAAACAAAAATTACCCTAACAATCTGACGTCTTCTTAGTTAGTCTTTCGAGAATGTTTAATTATTAGTATTTATTTTTATAGGTATGCATTATTAATATTATTATTGTTCTTAAAATATGTCCGCACTTACATCATATTTAACCATAACACGTACGGTATAAAAATACGTTATTTTAATTTAACAGTCATGACTTGTGGCAACAAGAAGTAGATTTAATTTGATTTTTAATTTTATCATAATAAATCGCGCCAATTATAAAATCAATACGTAACTTATTCTCCCTGGTCTCCTCCGTCCAGCTATAACCTATAAAATTACATGTTATGATTGAAACTGTCGGGTGGTAGTTTAACTAAATCATTGCCCAAGTTACTAAAATAATATGTCCATCGCTCCATTGAAATAACTATTTATAGATTTTGGATTTTGCGGCGTTCAATAATAATAAATGCTTCCAAGTAAAATAACTAACAAGTAACATACCTAATACGTCTGTAAGATATTAATAAAAAATGAAATTGTAAATTACTTACATTGTATCGTTTATATTTCTTAATCGACAAGACGAATGGCGACAACCATTCACCAGAAGTATAGATAATAAAATGAAAATCAATTGGTCAAACAAAATTGATTTTGTTAATTTATAATTAAGTTATAAATAATGACTGAATGCATTATACTGGTATTTCCACGATTTGTAATTAAAATGATAATCGTGCTCGCCTCGTCAACTTGCTTCGCACAGTATTTATTTATAGTAATAAAATATGCATTAGTTTATATTCATATTAGTATCTAACTATTCCATAATAATTAACGACGGGGAATCGGTTGTCATATTTTTGTAAATCAATGAATATCTGTGTATTATAAAATCAATAACGCAGCATAAGATACAAATACCTAAACATTATTATTCACATAAAAATGTAAGGCACTAAAGCGTGAGACCCTGGACATAGATTTAAGACTGTCTCTAGATAGGGTGTCAGCGACATATATTTCCTTTTCTGGCGTATAAATTATCTTCAAGTCATACTACATAAGCTTCAATACCATTCTTTGCAATCTCATGGATATTTTATGTAGGTCCTTTTTAAATATCGCCTCTTGTGGCTTATGTTCAAACTGAATCCTCAGATACCTACCATAAATGAACTGATGAAACTTGTCACATACATCCATTATAGGTAACATTTCTTTTTCTATTTGTGCGTCCTTCTGCTCTATTACAGTCATACTTCTTGACGCATAAGCTACTACATGCCCATCTTGTAATAACGCTGAGCCTATTCCATCTATAGAAGCATGTGTTTGTATTAACACTGATCTTTCATTATTAAAAAACTTTTAAGAATATGGGCACTAATTAAGGCCTTTGTTAACTTCTCTACTATGATTGAGCATCACTATGCTCAATTGTCCATTTATACTCTACATTATTGTTAGTTAACCTGCGAAGTGGTGCAGTTATTTTACTCAGGTTTGGTATAAACTTACAAAGATATTTTACCATACCTAAAAATCTAAGTAACTCTTTCTTGGTTGTTGGATCTTTGAATACTATTACTCCTTCTATTTGCTTTTTATCTGGTTTTATTCCTTCAGCTGAAAACTTTAAACCTAAATATGTATTTAACTACTCTCTGCTTGAACTGTAATTTATTTAAATTTAACTTAATATTAAACTTTTTTTCTCGTAATAGTACTTTTAATAGTTTCTCATCATGCTCAGCTTCTGTTTTTACACCTACTATAATATCATCAAAATAAGTAGCGATACCTTTAATATCACTGAAACTTTCACTTGTCTTTCTTTGAAAAACTTCGGGCGCTGAACTTATACTGAAGGGTGTCCTTGAGAATCTATACTTTCCTATAAGTGTTGAAAATATACACAATTTACTCTTTTCATCAAGTAATACTTAAAAAAAATCCATTTTTCAAATCTACAACGTTAAATTATGTCATTCCACTCAATCCGGCTAGTATTTCATCAACACTGGGAATTGAGTGATTCTCACACTTTATAACTTTGTTTGAATTTTTAAGGTCTAAACACAATCTAAGACTGTTGTTTGGTTTCCTTACTATTACCAAAGGTCTAACCCATTCTGAAAGGCCACTAACTTTTTGAATTACTTTTTCTTTTTCTATTTAATTAGGTACACTTTCTAATTATGAGATTATACTTAAGGGAACTCTTCTACTAGAGCATACAATCAGTTTTACACTATCATTACATACTAGTATAAAACGTAATATTAATTTCGGTTATATAAACCATAATCCTATGTGGTTGACAAGAAATTGCTTTTCGTGGTACAAATGATTCCGGACTACTGTTCAACAGAATGATGGCGATTTACGTCCTTTATTACGAATGAGTATTTCATTTAGTGATAAATACTTAATTGATCATATCGAAAATAATAAATTGAATGCTTCTTATTTAAGTCTCTTGATCCAGAATAATTTTATAGACATTAGCGGAAAAATTATACGAGAACAAATAACTGAAAAAATTAATAAATCCAAGTGTTTTTCGATATTGGTTGATGAAAAAACTGATGGATCTCACTTAAAATAGTTGTCATTATGTGTACGGTGTGTTCACCAAATTATGGATGTCAAAAATTGTAATTTAAATACATATATCCTAAAAGATTTTACAACAGGACAAAATTTAGCAACAGTAATTTTATAAAATTTAAATAAGCTTAGTGTTAATAGTCAGTACATGTTAGGACAGGGTTATGATGGCCCAATATCTATAAGTGGTAATTTCAAAGGCGTATAATATGTGAAACGTTAAAAACACCCCGCTGCCCTTTATGTGCATTGTAGCATACATTTCTTAAATTTGGCACTGGCCCATTCTTCAAATATTCATCACATTCGTATTTGTATCGGAACAATAAAATCAATCAGAAATTTCATTAAGATATCTGCTAGATGAACAGAGTTGTTAAAAATATAATTAAAAATCGAGACACGTGCATAATACTTACTGAGTTCGGTGAGCTAACGACCAGACGACAAAATTACCGTCGGGAAGCCGTCCGTACACGTTAGTTATCGTTACAGAAACAAATTGATATTGCAGAAAACTGCGAACTACGAAAAAAAATATGACCGGTACGAACGAGCATAGTAGTTGTTCAACGTTCGGCGGATAGAAAAATAAGTAAATAAGTGGTTCGGTGGTTTCGAGCCAAAAAAATGGTGTCCGCCAGGGAAGGCAACGCGGAGAGCGTAGACGCCCGCCAGTCATCACCACCAACGCAGTCGTCAACGACTCCGCACCGTGTGATCGCGGGCGCGGGCCAGGGAAAAATCTGGTTCGGCCGCGGTCACTACTTTATTACCGCCACCCTTCCATTCCGTGCCAGATCCATTCGGCATCAACAACCAACGCGATATCATTCGTTTCATCATTTTATCTGTGAAATAGACGTGTGATTGGTTATACCTGGTATAACTCAACGTTGCCAGATTTGGGGGGTTTTCCCCAATATGGAGACCTTCATCGATAATTTTCTGGTTTGAGGAAAAAATGGAGATTTCTCATTTTATTTAATTTTAAAATTATATACGAGGGCTAATCAAAAAGTATCGAGACTAATAACTCGGAAACCGAGCGTTGAAGAGCAAAAAGATTTGTAAACCTTGCTTCTATGACTTATACTGAGCACATCTATTCGTATAAAACCTCTATAAACTTCTTCGTTTTGATTATTTGTTTTTCACGTTTGGCGATTTCGTAATGAATCCAAATGAAGCGGAACTCGCTGCCACTCGAGGGCATATTTTCAGTTTTTCAATTGACATTTAATGGCAAAAACCATGAAATGTTGCATCCCTCTGAAACTGGAAAAAAATGCAGACAAATTTTCTAAAATCTCCAAATCTGTCAAGTTACTCTTCTTTTGGGTTTATTACAAAATNTTTTACAAAAATATCAGTGAAATCAAATCGAAGAATTTTATAGAGAAGCAATAAAAACAAATGTACTCAGAAAAAGTCATAGAAGCAAGTGATACCAATCCTACTGTTCTTCGATGCTCCTTTTCCGAATGATATTATCAGTCTTGATACTTTTTGATTAGCCCTCGTAAATATACAATACACATACAGTAAATTACTGTTAGAACGAACTCCAAGGGACCGATTTGTTTTTCCGTTATAACGGAAATTTCATTTTAACGAAATTTCGAAAATTCAAATAAATAAAATTTAAAAACATTATATTTTTTAAATACAAATAAATAATTCAAATGTAAATAATTTGCGAAAATAACTTTATTACAGATAATCGACAATTTTTTTTTTTGAACAAGGTTTGTTGTTTTAATAGAAAGTAAATAATTTTGTATTTGGTGAATGTTTGTAAATATGAAGTCTGGTACATCACTTTGTGATGAAATAAATGTTCGCATAACTTCCAAACTTGATAAGGCTTCTGATGAAGTGACATTGCACACATCTCCCATCACAGCTTCTTCATCTTCACTACTTTCATCGATGGCCTCATCTTTACTGTCTTTAATGGATTGAATGATATCTACTTCGGTTAGTTCATAACATGTTGAAACGTTGTCATCAGCACTGAGATAATCTTCTAAATTTACATCGTCAGGAAGCGCCGTTTTCTTTTTCGCAGTGATCCAAATTTGCTCTAACTCAGATTGTTGGGTGTCGTGCGTATTCGATTCATCATATTCGGCCACTTCTGAAACTGAATTGGCGTTTTTGGCTGTGGTTTCATGTATATAATACATTCACTTTGGTTAACCGGGGTCACCAAGGTTTATAAATAATAATCTATAAACCTAGCGAGGTCACATCACGGCTATAATAAAAATAATAATAGCCATGACCATGGTTGATCATAGAGCCTGTTAAAACCTCGTAGAACCTACTAAAATCGATATAGATAAGATTATTATTTCTTGATTATTAAGATGTCACCGATATCTGATGAATTAAGTAGCTCTGAAGAAGCAAAATCCACAAAAATTTAAAAATTACGAAAAAACAATATGTACATAAATTTCCAACGGAGTGGTTAAATTCCAAATTATTCTCCTTGGCTAAATTCCAGTCAGAAAGATAGTAAATACTTCAATTGCAAATTATGTAAAAGTGACTATTTAGGTGCGATTTCAGCTATCTAAAAACACCTTTCGTCTGAAAAGCATAAATTTGTTGGTAATCGAAAAAGTTAAAAATTAAAATAAATAATGTTCCTGCATAAAAAATGCTTCTAATTAAAGTAAAGAAACTAAAACAGCTGAAATATATTTTTTCATGTTTATTTCAGAGCACAATATAGCTTTGAGAACATCGGACCATCTTGTATCCCTTTTTAAATCTTTTTGCCCAAAGTCTAATGTTGTCCAAAACCTAACGTGTAGCGGTACTAAAGCAGCAGCAATTACAACTCATGTCATTGGTTTATGAACAACAAAACAATATTCTATATTATAATGTTGACAGTTTTAATGTTTACAATATTTATGGAAAGAATATTCTAGAATAATCTTCCTGCGATGTCTCAACCAACATTAAGTTGGAAAATACGATAAAATTTACGAACTCGCCCCAAAAAATTCGCGTGATGACTCGAATGGATCAGATTGGCCTCAAACATATGGAACGCCTCACGTACTGGTGCGTTTAAAGAAGAAATGATTAGCCGTAAATAGCAGCAACTACGGCACGATATCTCAGCCAAAGAAGAACCGATTTGGCCGCAAAAAGTCTTCGCAACTTACAGAGACGGTATGGAACTGTAACGATTTGAAAATCTTTATATTTTTACAAAAACCATTGATCAAATGATTTATGAAAAAACAAAGGTCTTTGAGACCATCTTGCCATAGAACAAATCCTTCCCCATTCTTCTCTATTCTCTACTACCTCCTTCCAATCCATGTGATTATATTCCACTCCACCAGCACTTGGGAAATCTTTTTTAATTCCAT